CACTTGTTCGGATTTTGTGAAGATTATAAAAAAATACTCCTCAACTGCAACCAACAAATAATTTTAAACAGATCATCTACAGACTTTGATGCGTTGTACGTTTCGGGGGCCATTGCAAATGAAATTAAAGAAAATCTTAAAAAAGTAGCGATTGAACTGAGTAAAATTATTTGGAAAATGCCAGTTATCAGGGTGAGTGATAAAGAAAAAATTAAACTGTTAAAAGTATTAGACTCTCGTAAACCGCTCACATGTGTGTTCAGAAAATGGGACTTGTGCGAATATCCAGTTCTCCCTCAAAATACTTCTCATTCATGGACTGTTAAATCGAGCAGTTTGCTCGAGAAACCTAGATTTGCATTAATTGGATTTCAAACAGATCGAAAAAATAATTTATTTAATCCATCGGGACGGTTCGATCACTGCTACCTGAAAAACCTGAAAGTACACCTGAACTCTGAAGTATATCCATATGAAGATTTCCGTGCAGATTTCACAAACAACGTTACAGCTATATTGTACAAAGCGTATGCCGAATTTCAAAAATCATACTACGAGAGAGAATATAGTGAGCCTCTACTTGCAAAAAAACATTTTCCAGCAGTTTGTACCAATCATGGTCGTGGATTTATCAAGATGTAAAATGTAAAATCATCGACTGTAGATTTACGCATCGAGTTCGAAACAGACAAAGCTATTCCAACAAAGACTGCAGCATATTGCCTCATCTTACACGATCAAATTATAACTTATAGTCCATTTAATGGTGATGTAAGAAAATTGTAAATAGCTTGTAAAATAAAAATACTTTTTTTTTTTAAATATCATGTATCTTACACTACCATATTATAACTAATAATCTAATTAATGGCGATGTAAGGAAATTGTAAATAGCTTGTAAAATAAAAATACTTTTTTTAAATATCACATTGTTTTTTTTATTATATATAAGTAATAATAATTATTAATAATATTACACCAATGGTTCGCGTTTTTAAATAATTGACAAAAATATGAAAATTACATAATAAAATGTCATATTACAATAAAATATTACATTATTACTAACGAAAACTTAATCTGCGGTCTGCTTTTGTGGTTTCACGTGCTACAAATGCCCTCGTCCTCGGTCTGTTTACTTCAGACTAAAAAAAAAAAAAAAAATTTGGTTCTTTAGTATAAAATAATATGTAAAAATAAAATCGTATTACCTCAGTTTCGGCAGAAGAAGATAACCATCCCATTGCCAATTGTTTGACTGCTTTAATTTTCAAATTTGCTATTAAACAAATACCAGTGAACTTGAGTTGTTTTTTCAATTCTTGGACATCGATACGGGATAAATAATCTTCAACATTGCTTATTTTTGTATCTTTGGGTAACGGCATTTCCTTTCCAAGGTACCTTGAAATATCACAGGCCTGACGTAATGCACTAGGTCGTGTGTATATATTTTTCATCTGAATAACTTCTTCCACGGCATCATTTAATTGCAAGATCCTTGAAACATTCTCTTTAGTTAATCGTACATGTTGATCCTGTTGCAAACACTTTATCGAGAGAACGTTGTCACCGTTGTATTTATCTATTGAAGCCAATTTAAACTCCTCCAGCATTAAATGAGATGGTAGTGAAACATTTATGTATTTAAGAGCTATATTAATTAGAGAATTATAGAATTCAACACTCATTTTAACACACTGCGAGTTATTTGAGATGCATATAACCCAATTTAACAAAAAATCAGGGTCTAATCCTATATTTATAAAAATATTGCTATCAACAAAGAATGTAGTACAATCGATCAGATTATTAGCCATTTTTGTTAGATACGCTAACAACTGTCTCGAAATAAGTTATTAATCGGGTACGCACACGACTCGTTTGACGCAACACTCACGACTGTCTTGAAAAAAGTCTGTGTCACCCTTTTAAACAGTGCTACTCGATCGCTCGTTTAGAGTGGGGATTATCCCTACTCTATACTCGGGGGTGGGAGTAAAAGTGAATTTAGATCATAGATGAGTGGTACCGCTCATGATGGTGGGGATATGTATAAGGAAATAAGACACGTTATGATATATAGAATATTTATTAATAAAATAATTTTGTAATACACTGATAAGATGGTGTTCCTGACTTGCAGTCGATTAGAGATGGTGGGGATCATGGGCGTCTGTTAAAATATGTTGTACCGTCGTTCTCATCAACAGCCTATAAAAATTAATGATTATTCATCATATCATTTGTATATTTATGTATATTAAATTTGGTTTAGTTTTCCGAAGTTTAGCAGGATTCATAGAATGTGTTATTTCCTGGAACCTCCTCTCCTCATCAGCTGCCTAAACAAAATAAAATTTAATACTAAAATCTTTTATTATTATTATTTCAATTACCCGTGACTGTGAAAAATCAAAGGCCTCAGCATAATACTAAAATAAATTGAAATAAGTAATCGTAGTTTATATATTATTACCTTTAATTCGTTAACCTCAGGCATCCTCTGGGTAGGCGGAAGAAATTTTATCAATTCATCATCATTTTCATCCATATCCTAATTGAATGCACATGTTAAATATTTTTTGAATAATATATATATATATATTCTTACTTTTAGCAAATTCTTCGTCATCCACTTGATTGCTAACTGTTCAGTTGCGTATAATTTGATCTGGTTTATAAAACTATGTTTGTTCTTCGGTACATGCATTGAGATTAAATCGATATTAATTCCTTTGATTATTGTTTTTACTTCTTCCAGTGTCGCTGATTTATCAATATTAAAATTTGTTTTAAAGTATTCTGAAATTTGTTCGATTTGATTTAAAATAATAGGTCTCACTACATCGATTTTTCTTGATATGGTTTCGAAAATGGGGTTGAACTCTGGCTTTTGGGTCTGGGAAAAAAAACGCGAAAAAATTTCTAAGTCCATATCACATCTATAATATTATCACTACAGCAATACTCTGCAGTGTTGCCATTATAATAATTTTATGTACCACAATAATAATTATACTACGTAAAAATCACAAAAGTATTCTAAGTTCAAAATAATCAATTTATTCACTCGTTCATTTTCCAAAGTATCGCTGCTCAAATTAAGTCCAAAATAATATTTCAAAAGTGTCAACTATTACGACCACCTAGGCTTTCGGATTTTTGATTTTTCCATTTTCCTACCGCTTTTCACGGACCTACTTAGCTTTTGGATCTGGGAAAAAATGTCGAAATATCGAAAAACGTCTAAGAGGTTTTATATTCGTATGCCGTTATAGAAAAATACCATGTAGTCGGATTTTTGATTTTTCGATTTTTAATTTATTATTATTATTAAAAGAACGTCGTAATAAAGTACGTTATTTGTTAGTCGTTACATTAAATATTTTATTTAAATTACATTCGCGTTACTTGAAATTATAAAAAAAAAAATTTATTACAACAGCCCACCAAATGTACATTATTTATTTTATTAAATATATTAAACAACTATAATTATTATTGTTGTATTTAATAAATATATTGTTTATTTTAATTTCTTATATCATATTTTTTAAACATATAATAATATATTTATTTTATCTGATATAATTATATGAACTTAAAAATGTGGTGGCCCTAAGAAGGGCCGTTTTAAATTGTCGGTTCTTAAAAGAACCATTTTTGTTGATGTGCCTGTTGTGGCCTCCCATATGTGAATTGATCTGTAAAAATTTAATATCATTTAAAATTATGCTCCAACCAAATTTATTATGCATATGAAAACTCTCGAGAAATTTTCTACAAAATATAATGAAACTTATTCCTTTTTTTACCGTTATTTAACTTACCTTTTTAGTTTAGCACTCTGGACACTGACAGTCTTCAATGTCTCTGGCCATTGGTATGTATCCAATACCAGGATATGCCCTTCCTATGTCCCTCATAAACCTACAGAATTGCTGCTGTATACCACCTTCCCGGTTTAAAACATTAGTCCGGTACATCCATTCACCAATGTAGGAGGTTGACACTCGTGGGCAGTTGCACCTTGTTAGTACGCGTTTTAATTCACTCCACGAACGCTCGATGTGTTGGGTATGGTATCTAATTGGTACCATGTTGGGCGGCAATGCATCATCCCACTGCTTGTCCAAGCACTCAGAGCTGAATCGACCGGCAGGTACCCAAATTGGTGGTAAATGTTTGAGTGGCTCGACAAAGTTAACTGTATGGTTAACTACACCATGTCCACTAAAGACCCATAAAATATTTATATTTATTATAATCTCTTTAAATGACATGTTTGCTTTAAAAAATGTATTAAACTCTAAATAGTATAATAATTAGTTTTATTCATAATTGTGGGTACTGTATGAAATTCTTACGATGTATTTTATTTTACATTTTTAATATTTAGCTATTTTATAAATTTTTAACTGTAAAATAATTTTCAATATGATTTATGTTGCCGAAATTTGAACTTTAAATGCTTTTAAAAAAATCTTACCAATATATTTTTAATTTTTTAGATTCTGTGTGGAGCGATGAATGTAATGATTTTACAATGATGTTTGTTTTTTTTTTTATTATTTTATATATATTTTTTTTTTGTGTCTGTGATCACCTTTTAGAACAATGAAAGTGATTAGATTTTAAAATGTATGTAAACAACTTGAAAGGAGTTGAAATATTTTGAAAAAAATAAAAAATGATAGCTAAAATACATTTCAAATATCTAGTATCTAAAGTTACTCGATCTTACTAGCTCTGCTCATAATCTAAAATGCGTTGTTGCATTAATTTTATAATGCCTATTTATTTACCTAAAGATTTGGCCGCAGGTATTGTATGCCCTCCACATGTCGCTACAAATAAAACTTTCGTCATCGATGTACCGTTGAGCGATAGGTATTAACGTATCTGCTGATCTATCTGGAACAACTGTACCGAATACCTTCTTCGTAGTACGACTTATTCCTCCTAAAATATTATATGACGTTATTTATAAATATAAATTACTGTAATAAATTATATTTTAGTAAAACAATAAAATTCATACCAAACAACCAAACAGCACTCCACGCCATTAGCCGGCCTACATTATATTTTGCCCGAAATAAATGCGTTTCGTCGATTTCTACGATATCGTTACTACCGCTGATTTGCTCAAAATCGTGGTATGCTATTTTTAAAGCAACATCTCTGAAGTATTCAGTGTAGGCTACCACCGTTTCTGTAGACACTTTAACCTAATATTGACATTTTAGATGTATTTTATGTGAAATTAGCTATTAAGATTATAAAGATTGATTATTTAAAATAAATGTTGTCACCTTAGTGTGATCAAATTAAACTATGCATATTTTATTGTATGATTATAATAAATGTATACTTACTTCTTGTTGAATTGTGGTTGTATTGGCTTTAGCCACCCACAAATAAATCATTTGGATTATTTTATTACAACCTAACTCTCCAGCTGTATGGACATATTCTAAAAATGTATTTTTAGTCCGGTTTAATCTGTGACCGTTGGAACACTTAAACCAGTAACCAAGTTTCCTTGTTGCATCTGCGACACGATACAATGGTTCTCCACAGTGACATCCGGGAACATCAAAATCGTCAGGAATCACACCAAAATGCTTAAAAATCATTTCGCCCTGCATCCCAGCCAATCTGCGTTCCTCGTCAGAAAAATTAGGATGTAATGGGATTACGTAATATCATGTATTTGCTCATAAAAACAACCAGGAATGCGACCACACCCAAAAGTGTTTACGATTAGAATACCACTTTTAGTCGTGAGGTCCATATCAAGGACGACTGTACACGCGCCGCTCACTTCAAAGGACGCCGCCACCATACATATAGGGGACAGCGAGACAGCCTGAGTTAGATGTACCAGGGCCGCCAAGACCGAGCGGGCCGCTTATTTATAAAAGTACATCAGCTTTTGGATCCCTGAAGGGCCGCATGTAACACTGGAGCAGTCGAAGTAGGATTTCTTTCAAAGGAGGCAACCCGTCAAAAGGCTACCGTCAACAAAGAAGAACTGTACACTCTTCCGAGAAGACAACTCCAAGAAGAACCATAAAAAAAAACAAATAAGTCACGTCACGGTACCAACAAATCCATCAGTACCATCAGCATGTCATCAGCAACCAGGAACACAGCATTATTGTGAGTGAATAATTATTTAAATTTGTTACATAGACGTATGCAACATAATTAGGACATATTAGATAATTCTAAGTAGTTGACTATAAGTATAATGGTGTAAAACGTTTTAAAATTTTATTGAGGGCATATTTTATTGATTATTATTGAAGTTTTATTGAATTTATTGAGGTCATATTTATTGATTATTGAAGTTTATTATTGAGGGCATGTTTTATTGAAGTTATTATTGATTATTATTGAAGTTTATTGATTTATTGAGGGCATTTTTATTATTGAAGTATTATTGAAGTTTATTGAATTTATTAAAGGGCATATTATTGAAGTTATTATTGTATTTATAGGGCATTGTTGAATTATTATTATTATGAGTATTAACGTATTAAATAGGTAGCTAAGTAAATTATGGACAAAGAAGGTACATCTCCCTTGAAAGTAATTAATTCATTGTATGACACTAGTGTAGTAGAAGAAGCCCAGTTATTAGCCCAGAGAGAAGCCCAAGCCCAGTTTGAAGCCCAACAGAAAGCCCAGTTGAATATTATAGTAGATACCCAGTTAGTAGGTAGCGCAAGTAGAAACCCAAGTCCAGGAGTAATCACACGTAGCCAAGTTACAGATAGTTTTGAACATCAGTCATTAGTATTTTTACCTATAACACGCACTAAAAAAATGGCAGTAACCATAAAATTAGAAGACGCTTTTAAATTAATTCCACTATGCACAGGAATAGACGATATCTATCAATTCATAAATGGATGCGATATGGCAGTAAGTTTAGTCGACACAAACAGTGCACCAACATTAGTAAAATATATTACCACACGTTTAACGGGTAGAGCATTAGAAATGATTAAATACAAAAATGTATCGAAATGGCAGTTTATAAAAATTTATTTAACAGATGCATTTGAGGTTGTATCAAGATTGCATCGTCGTTACAACTTCAATTAAATTCGATTAGAATGTATCACAATGATCGTGCTGACTTGGTGTTTATACGAACGGATCGATATATTCTCTCTATACGCCGTATACGGCATATATGATTGTTGTTGTGTAGGTAGAGGTGGTGGTGGTGTAGACGGCGGGTGTTGTGTAGTTGTCGGTGGAATCGCTGCAATCACGGCGTTTCGGTGTATATTCTTAATGACAATACGCGCGCAATCTCGAGCTATCAGCCTTCCCGTCGACGCGTCGAACTCGTTATCACGATAATCATCCGCGTCCGAACCATCGTCGTCGTTGTCGGCGAATAAACATCGCATGTGATCGTTGAAAGTCAGGTGATTTCTAATAACATGTCCCCGGACTCCTGACCTGATATTTACGGCACCCTCGATATCGTAGGCATACGACTTGGCGCGTAATCCGATAAACTGACGCATATTTCGGGCTGAAATCTCGTCCTTAAAGTATCCAGGTAATTTCATACGTGCCAAAGTGTAACATCTGTGATCAGGTGGTAGATTAGATGTGGTTATGCGATTCAGCAAGTTCGGATTATTCGCCACATCGTCGTAAAAATCGAGTGTTTTAACGTGATATATCAGAGAATCTGCCAAGTAAAATAATTGTAACGTTAATAACACATTAAATACAATAGTGGATCACAGTGTGATATACATACCAGTATCGGTGTACAGCAGGCTGATATTGTCGCCGTAATGACGTTTCATCACGTTGTAATGATATTCGTACATCAACTCCTTGCTCCGCTCGAGTATGACAAACCCTATGTAAATAGGTTTACAGAAATTGATCTCTTTATTGTGCATAGTCACTGCCTCGAGATTTTCGCAATAATTGGTGCATTGTTTGAACGTCGGGCGGTTAATCAGTTTTCACATCCTGACGGGGCATGACACGAGTTCTACGTTAATACGTTTTCTCATTGATTCCATTGTCTTACCTGTAAGGTATATTATTGACATAAAAATAAAATTTGCAAATATTTTTTTTTTTCGCAAAAAATTATAAATAAATTACCGAATACACTGTTGTTTATGTCTTTGAAAAATTGCTCCTCGAATTTATTAGCAGCCCGTGCACGCATCCCCGTGTTCAACGCGATATACGGTGCAAGCCATCGAGATTGTCGAAATTGTAGCACTCGATGCACCTGAAATGTACAAAATAAGTAATTAAATAATAATACTACTACTTTAACAATAATCATGATAATAATAATAATAATAATGATTACCTTTTCGACTATCAATCCGTTTGCAATGGCCTGTTTCAAATTCATATTATGTATGGCGTAGTTTTCCTTGCGTTCGAATGTAACCATTAATTTCCGAACTTTAGACCCGCGTGGAATGCTTGCGTGTGGTAGGAACGGCATATCATTGTGCTCGTCGTGCAGACTTTGCGGATACGAGATGTCGACTTCGTAGACTCTCCCCACGTCATCTACCTCATCCATATGCTCGAGTTGAGCTAATGCCACGTCCGGATTTCCAGCGTACCACGAAAACCCCCCGTAAGGAATGTTTTGAGACATACTCCACCCGTATAAATTATTAGCTATGTGGAAACAATGAAATCATATTATTATTATAAGCTTGTACATAATGATTGTCACAATGACAAAAGTTAAACTTCAATTTCCCCCCACAATTTATCATTAATTCGATATCTGCGTTTTTCATGCGACAGTTAATTATTAATTAATTATTATTATTATTATTATCTTAAAATATTACCATCTTGATAGACGAGCCATGTGTTCGGTTCGCCGGCTTCGTACCCAGGCGTCTTCGGGTTGTTCGCCTTGGCGTAACGCTTGCTGACTTGCGTCAGCCCACTATGCGTACCTCGTTCGAAAAATAATATAGATTCGTAATCAGTAAGCAGTTGTAGCCTGATGGAGGTAAACTTTAGCATAGCATCGAAGCTGTATCCGGGGGCCGTGAAATAATACGCCGGGTCCAGCTGGTACGTCGACATGCATATATCGCGGAAATTCTCGAAAATGTCGGCGCTGAGTAACACATCGATTTTCAGGTATAGATCACTGTAATCGCCGAGAGTGTGGCAGTCGAAATGATTCCATACAAGCTTTGCGTGCGCGTAATCTCCGTCGCTAACGTGCGTCTCGGTCAACGCGCTGTAAAACTCCTCCCTGGCCGGCAACCTCGTCTCGCTCAATTTACTCCAGCTGTCCGTGTACTCGTATGGGTACACGCCTTTACGCGTGACCAGCGGCATCTCCGTCGACGCAAACACTTTCGCGACTTCGCGAAACTTGGCAAAGTCCGCAGTCGAGAGGTTCTTCGCCAAGTCAGCCAAACTCGAAGCCATGAACCTGCACGTGTCGATAAACCTGACGGCGAACTCGTTGTTTATGTATTTTGAAAACGATATATATCGTTCCTCGCTATTGGGTATCACCGATATCGCGTTGGCGTCAAGTCCCAGATGCGTGACGAAAAAATGAGCGTCGTAAATCGATAGATTATGTAAATAGCAAGGCACGAACTTTGGCGTTTTTAATTTGAGATTGCACGTGTTACACAGAGTCTTGAGAAAACGGCCTGACAAGTGGTCGTGATTTGCGACTTTGCAATTTCTGTCGGTGAAAGTTTTCGCACACAAATCGCACACGGTCTTCATTCCGTGCGCGCGCACATCCTCGACGCTCATCGCGATCGGCACGTTGGTCGTCTTCAGCAGTTTAGATATTTTTTCGGCCATATCTATGACAGCTATGACGAATCGCTTGGCTACATCGTCCACGGTCTCTGAGCCGCGAAAAATGATCGGAGTCCGCGGGATGTCGAACTGCTCCATCAGCTCTGCCGGTACACCGTCCGCAGCGACAACCATAAACCCATAGCTCATGGGCTGATGAGTGTGCAACGCTTCGGTATTGACACCGTATCGCTTCGTGGATTTCACGAGAAGGGCCTCAAAGTCGGCGTACATAACGAACGGCAGGCGTTGAGTTTTACACAGCGCGGTGAACTCGAGCGTGCTCCCTTCCGGCGGCAATATAGGTAATATGGGTTTGTGGGTGCCACAGGCCAAACGATGACGTGCAAACGCCTCCTCGCCGTGCAATTTATATCGCAAAGGCTGGTCGTCAAAACTGGTGAAACACTTTTTGCAGAAAAATAATCGATGTTCACGACTATTTTTCTGCATACTAGCGAGTCTCGAAAAATTTGACACATAGGTGTAGTGACTTTTTTCCCCCGAACCAGTGATCAATAGTAGGTCAAAATGATCCGGCAGTTCGTCATCTACCACCCGCAGGGGGTACGCCGCCGATTCCGTCGTAGATTTTTTATTTTTTTTTATTATTTCCGCATTTTCTCACGCCGTAAACGTTGATCGACGTACCGGGATTCGCTCGCTCGAATAATGGTATCTCCGATACGGGTGTGGGGACGGATAACGTGGAAAAGTCGTAACGGTTCTCTTCGCGGAAATAATTTGAGCCTATTCTGAAACTGTTAACACGGGGCACATGCTTTGCCAAAATCGCCCACTTAAAGCATTGTAAATCTACGTTTTGAGGGTTTATTACGGCCTTTCGATCTGCGATGCTCGGCGGGAGTGGCAAGTAGACGAGCCACCCATGGGCGAGTACTCGTAAACCCCCAAAAGCATCCCGTCAATGCACGATAGGGCAAAGCCGCTGTTCTTGCCCGCGTAACCGTCCTCCTCGGCGAGAAGTGCCGTAAAATCGCGATCTACCACACCCTCGACGTCGCTGTACGAGTACAACTCTCGGGCCGATGACTTGAAAGCACGGTTTTCGTTGCTGTTTTCCACGTTAGGTACTGCGTAGGTGGTCTCTAACTTGAGGTTATATTTAATCGGATGACTTAGCGCACATTCGCGTAATTTCTCTATTAATTCCGACTCAATCGAATGGAGAAATGCGCGATAACTCCTAACGTTTTCAATATTTTTCCTGAAGTACCACACGGTCGCGCGTTTGAACGTAGATTTTAATTCGACAAAGCCTGGGGTAATAACAGATTGCATACGAGCCTTTTTACGCTTAATGTTTCTGCCACTGTTCTCCGTATATTGATGCGATAGTGTAGTAGGCGGCGAGCACGCGTTATCACGGTCAAATGTTCAATTAGAAGCGCCCGAGATACCGGTGATAACCGGCGCGACGGCCGGACGTGTCGTGGAGGCAAGCCGGGGTTTCGTGGAGGCGTGACGCCGTGTCCTACGTAAATACGGCAAATCCGATAATCGCAATACGATGCGACCGATCCGATACGATTTCGTCATCCGATATTGCGGCGATCAGACACGTGGCAAACGTGAGATCGCATAGTCGTGCGACGGTTTTGTAGGTAGAAGGAACATTGTACATGCTAATATTCGTTTAAAAACATTAATCATGCCTTTAACCACACTACAAAAGAAAATGCTTCTGACTGAAAATTCGGTACTTAAGTATTTATTATATAAAAGGTAAGTTATAAATTTAATTAAATAATGGTAAATTATTAATAATTATAAGTGAATTTATTAATATATGTAGGTACAAAAAAATTAAAAAATCGTATCTTACCAGAGCTATCATTTTAAAAGACCGAATGATTTTTGGTGAGTTTTACCATTTATATAACCAAGTACGTTGTGATGACGCCTTATTTCGATCGTATACAAGGATGTCAGTTGCAACATTTGACTATATAGTTGAAATAATACGACCAGAATTTGATCTAAAGTCAACAAATTTTCAAGATCCCATACCAGTTGAAGAAAGATTGGTTGTAACAATTAGGTAAGCATTTTTAATCAATGAAATTATTAATTTATTATATTGGTAGTAATTTATACAAACACACATAAACACAAATATATATTTATGTACCTAATAAACAAACATCTTTCAACAAAATAAAAAACCTATCTTTTAAATAACTAATTAAAAACATTATTTTTTAATGTAAGTAAGTTTTTAAATCTTTAAAATGTATTATGTTTCTACTTGTATTACAATATTGTTAAATACATTTTTTTTTTAAAGCAGACACCCTTAACTTACTGCAAAATAAGTAGTAAAAAAAATGAATAAATATTTTTCAACAACAAAATAAAAAACCTTTCTTTTAAATAACTAATTTAAAACAATATTTTAAATGTAAGTACATTTTTAAATCTTTAAAGTGTATTTTGCACTTACTTGTATACATTAAGTTGTTTAATAAACTTAGGGCAAGTAAGATAATGCGACATTTAATGATGATTCTTGATTTTGCGACAACTCATTTATTAAAATATTTTGGAATTGATTTCTCACTCGAAGCTTTTGAATGGAATCCATTTTTTTGAAATATGGTAAAAGAGATTGGAAAAAAAGCATATCTTCATCAATTTCTGGAGCAGTTACATTGGTAGACTGTTGCAACAATGCGACTTTTTGACTTTCAATTTTTAATAAATTTTCCAAATACTTATCATCGTCTACTTTTGGTTTCTTTTTTTTTCGAGATAGTAAACGCTCTGAATCACTAGACTGGTTTGTTACTGGTGTTGATGGTGTACTTGTTTCATGTGTGTGTATAAATTGAGTACTTTGACTAATCTCTGTTTCAATTTCTGGTGTTGATACATAATTATTTACAATATCTATCGTATAAGGATTTGATACTCCCGTATCTGTAATATAAGAGTCATCATTATTTATCTGATCAATAATATGATTATCTTCATAATTTTTTGCGTTTTCTGTATCTTCCTCATCCGTAATATTTCCATCAGAAACCCTTGGAGTTGTGGTATCTTTTAAAAAAAGCAACAAATTATAATAAGACCATTTCCCAGTATATATTTCAGCTCCTTCTTGTGGATCTCCAGAGCGGCATTTCTTAACTTTTTTTTTCTCTCTTAAGAAAGTATCTCGTAAATTTCTCCACTTTTTTTTTGCCTCTTCCTCTATAAAAATAAATTAACTAAAATATAACAATAGCTCTAACTTCAAATGTTATATATGTATAACGAAAAATTGCTCAAAGAACAATTAATTGGGAACCTAATTTACTACATGTTCGTGTATTTTTAACGAAATAAAATATTTTCGATTTTGTGTGAAGAAAATCAAAAACAAATTTCAAATATCAAACTGTCTATTTTTTTTATTAAAATTGTTTATTATTTGTAGGTACTTGGCGACTGGACTAGCATTTAGACAACTAGCAATGGCATTTAGAATATCTAAGACTGCAGTGTCTAATATAGTGATCGAGGTGTGTATAGCTTTATGGAATTCATTAAAAAACAAGCATATGTCTACTCCTACAGTAGATGATTTTAAAAATATTTCAAACGAATTTTATAAGAAATGGAATTTTCCAAATTGTGTTGGAAGTTTAGACGGAAAACATATCCGTATGAAATGTCCGAAAAACTCCGGGAGCATGTTTTTCAACTATAAACAATACTACTCTATTGTTTTAATGGCAGTAGCTGATGCCAACTATAGATTTGTTATGATAGATGTTGGTTCGTACGGTAAAGATAGCGACGGCAGCGTTCTGTGTAATACACAGTTTTATCAACGTCTGGAAAATGGTACATTAAAACTGCCAAAACTGAGTAACTTGCCTAATTCAAATCTCAAAGCACCGTATGTATTTGTTGGTGACGAAGCTTTCCCGTTACGCAATTATATAATGAGACCCTTCCCTAGACAACAATTAGCATCAGCTAATGATAAAAAACATTATAACTATCGTCTTTCTAGGGCAAGAATGACTATTGAGTGCGCTTTTGGCATTGCATCTTCTAAATTTAGAATACTTCAAAAATCAATTGAAACTAAAGTTGAGAATGCAGATCATATTGTGAAAGCTATATGTATATTACACAATGTAATAATTGATAGAGAGAACGAATCTTCGCGTCAATGTACCATCATATCGGAAAATTTTAACATTGCAAATGTACAAGAAAGTAATAAAATAATGAGACTCCGTGCCAACAGATCTAACAATCGTGCTTCCCGTACTGCTATTGATATTAGAAATATATTTGTAGAGTTTTTTAAAACTAATAATATTACTGAAACAAGTATGTAAGTAAAATATATGTACCTAATTAATATTGTAGTAATTTTAAGTAAGTTTTTACTATATACCTACCTACGTATATTATAATAATGTATACTTAAATAGGTAGGTAACTAAAATCAGTTTCATTTCTTTAAGTTTCTAACGTAAAATTTTGAAACTGGTATTCAGTACTATTGTTTAGTTTAATCTCATTTTAATTATTTGGTATAAAATTAAAAATACAGTGTAAAAAAAAATGGATACTAATTATTAAACCTATTATTATTATATTATAAACTACTTACTATCCATTTTTGTATTTTTTGCAACTTCGTCCCATTCTCTGTCGGAAATTAATCTATCCCTATACTTTTTGTTCCACTTATTCCACAACACATTTCTCTTTTGTATTTCCGATATTAATAATTCCATAATTAAATAAAATAATATAGGTAAGTAAAATAAGGTAATAAAAAAATAATGTAATAATACAATATTACATTATAATATTAGTAATAACTAATAAGTAACACACAGCGTGAAAATCGCATACGAATATGCGATCAAAAACAAACTATTTTGTTTTTCAACGCACACGACTAAACGCATCCGATAAAACCGGTCGTATCGGTCGTGTCGCATTGGTCACGTCGGACACTCCCGTTCGTTTCCGGTGATTTGTTTATTTTTAGAAATCGTATCGGTCGCATCGTATTGCGATTATCGCATTATCGTATTTACGTAGGACACGGCGTGAGACGGGCCAGCTGCGATTCGTGATAGCGGCGGCCGCCGGAGACGGGACAGCAACAGCTGCTGCTGATGGCTGAGCGGGCGGTATAACGGTTGCGAGTGCGGGCGCCCAGTCTATAACCGTCGGACGATCTGACACGAATTAATGAATAATATTGTTATTAAAATTGTTATTAAAATTGTATTATTATTATTATTATTTAATGAGATTTTAAAAATTTACCCATTGCGCTGCCTATTCGAACCGCATTGCGGTCGTCGTTGGTATGCAGGCGGGCGGCCTCTGCTTATTCGGAAATAATTAAATTAAATTAAATTAATAACCTATGTATATATATATAGTTAAAGCGTGCATTGTATTTGTGCAGTTGAACATTTTTACGATATTTTCACAGAATTTAATAAATAAACGTTTGGAAATACGAGCAGGACCGTTATTAAGACGTTAAACACTGTCGAGCTCTGAAAACCGTCTGATGCGAAAAATATTAACGACGGCGGTGGATAACCGAATTCTGCATATTATATATCATATATTATAATATATGTATATATATATTTAATATTAATAATAATAAAATCCGTGCCGACTTCACTGCAATACGCTGCATATGCGCATTCCCGCCGATCGCGTGGGATGAATACAACATATCGATATATATATAAAATTAGCTTATGTTGCACAGAATAATATATACTATTACTATATACATATAGTCGTATAAAGTTTATACTGTAATAGATATGTATATATATATATATATATATGAATTATGCTACTATATATAGGTATATACTATAGTATGTACATAGTATATACTTTAATATATATATAGGTATATACTATAGTATGTACATAGTATATACTCTAGTATATATAGGTATACACTATACTATGTACATAGTATATACTTTAATATATATATAGGTATATACTATACTATGTATATAGTATATACTTTAATATATATAGGTATATACTATAGTATGTACAGAGTATATACTCGGGTATATATGTAGCGCGCATGGTGGCAGGGTGGGAGGGGGGTGAAGCGGGGGGAGCCAGAACCGGCTATTTCATACTACTGAGCACAGTTATTTTTTACAGACATTTTAAATTCAAATTTGGACGAAATTACATATTAAAAAACCTATAATAACTATTTTAGTTACTCGTGATTGAATAATATTATTCGTGGGTACTTGAAACTTCTAAAG